GTTTCCTGCACTGTTATTGTCTGATAAAAAAATGTCATAACTTCTGAAATGACCCTTATATGTAAACACACACACACATAGGGCTTGAATACTGGCGGAACGACGTTCCGTTACCTCGGGAATGAAATAGGTAAAAAACCGAAAGCAGAAGTCAAACTCTTGGAAACTTACACTTTTAGTTCGACCAATTTTAGTAAACTGAAGATTAAATAATTTTACACGTAACTGTTTATCATTAAATTAAATCATTTCTACGAATTAAATAAAATTATTAATAAAAACGACGCGTGGGGAGGTTCAAAAAAGAATTGAGCTTTTGCAACTTCCAAAATCCCAATGTTTTATTGAAAATTGGACCAATGTGATATTACTAGGCAAACTTTACTCTATGTGAGCAATGAAATTTTGAAAAAATGGAGCTGTTTTTGAGAAAATATGGTTTATGTTTTTGTTTCAATTATAATGATTTGACTCAATATTATACAAAAACTACTCACATTTTCAAAAGATTGTAAGTAACATATTTAATTATCTAATTCTGAACAACAGATTTCACTAAGAAAAATAGCTCCATCTTAATAATTCAATAATTGGAGATGGTAAAAAAATTAACTTTTGCAAATTTCAAAATTTCAGAACTTTTACTGAAAATTGTTCGTGCAACACTTTAAAAGTATTCTTTGTTCTATTCAATAAAAAAGGTCAAGAAAATATTTTGAGTAATACTTAAGAAAATTTTAAAAGTGTTTTGGGACGTAAAGTTACCCTCAAAATTAAAAGATCCATTTCAAATTGAAGGATCTTCAACATCAGGCATATGGTCAGGCAAATATACATGTTGGTGAAAATCCTGTGTCAGTTTAAGAGTTGATGTTGCTCATAGACAGGTCAGACAAACAGACAGACAGATAGATGAAGTGACATATAGATATTTTGAACAAAATGCTACTTTTTCAGTATCAAGGGACCCAAATGTCGACATCATGTTTTTTGCAGCATTACAAAACTTTCTCTATACTCAGCATACAAGAAAGTAAAATTGTACTCTTATGAAATTTTGATTTCTTAAACATAATTATGAAGATATTGAAATCAAATGTTCTCAAATTGAAGAGTGATATATTTTAGAATAAATAAATAAATAAATAAATAGAAGCTTTAGGAGTCAAAACTTAAAAAAAAAATTGTAATTATCATTAAAAGTTAATCTTTCATTAATCTACTACTTGTGTTCCAAAAATTACTAATAATATTTAATAATATTATCATGTTTGTAAAATGTATTATTTCATTCATGTTCTTACCTGAGAAAACAATTCAAAAACATTTTCAAACAAATCATATTGGTAATCAATTAAAACTTATTGAATATAAAATCATTTAAACTTATAAAAGAAAAATTAGAGAAGAAACAGCAAATATATTGTGTGTTTTGGAAATACTAATGAACATACACTATTGAAAGATTTCACTAAATAATATAAACAAATGTTGAATTAAATCTTGACATCTCATTATTAATTCACAACAAATTTATTCCAAGGGTAATTCATATTCTGCTTAGAGGTGAAAGTAAGATTGCATCTTAGTTTTTGTTTATATCCAAATATTTTCTGAGAATGGTTATTAATGTTAGAAATTCAAGAATAATTTCAGTTTATGAAAATATTCTTAATACAAACCCTTTCAGATATAATGTTTCTACATAGTTGCTCTCCATGTATCACTGAAAGATTGGAAATTTCATCATTCATTTTAAATACATTGCTTTACATTTTCAATTTTAAATCTTAATTAAGGCAACATTTGCAATGTGCATTCACGATAACAACTAATATCTTTCATTTTCAAGTAAATATTTATTTTCATGAATTGATAACAGGGACATGGAAGCACAACAACACTGTTATAAGATTTAAATCTCTGAACCTTTCATCACTCCTCAGCAATTTTAATGAGCTCTTCAGGCTGTTAATAATATGATCTAATTTACTTAATTTTACTTACATTTACATAATGCTGGCTAAGTTTAAATTTATCAGAATCTCATTCAACTCTAATTTCAATATTATCAACTTCAATTTCTTAAAATTATGAAATTTACATTGAATGGAAAAATTAAATAGGATGTTTTTCTTTAGAAACACACAAGACATTTTTCCTCAAAATTTATTCTTCACAATGCAGTATACGAGTATAATGTGTGAAAAGTTTTTATTTCGTGAACTGTACACATTTCATTTAACAATGTCAACATTGTATAATACCA